GTCTGGGCACACCTGGGGGGAGTCTGGGCATACCTGAGAGGGGTCTGGGCACACCTGGTAGGCATCTAGGGGAGTCTAGGCACACCTGGGGGGCACCTGGGCACACCTGAGAAGGTCTAAGCACACCTGGGGACAGGTTAGACACATAGAGACACATGTGAGCATACCTGAGGGGCATCTGGGGACAGATTATACACATAGAGACACACCTGGACACACCTGGATGGGGTCTAGGCATACCTGAGGGCACCTGGGGAGCACCTGGGGACAGATTAGACACACAGAGACACACCTGGGGTGAACTGGGAGGGGTCTGAGCACACCTGTGGGCAGCCTGGACACACGTGGGGACAGGTTAGACACACAGAGACACACCTGGGGTGAACTGGGAGGGGTCTGAGCACACCTGTGGGCAGCCTGGACACACGTGGGGACAGGTTAGACACACAGAGACATATCTGAGGTGAGTGAAGGACACACCTGGGCATACCTAGGGTGAGCTGGGAGGGATCTGGAGAGGGTTCAGGCACACCTGGGGTGAGCTGGGGCACACCTGGGGGGGATCTGGGCACCCCTGGGCACCCTGGGTCAACCTGTGGGCACACCTATGGGACACCTGCTGCCACCTGACCCTGCTGGGGTGGTAGCAGGTGAGCCAGGATGCCACCAGGTGATGTGCCCTCCTCCAGGTGGGCCTCCCCGAGCCGCAGGTGAAGCGCTGTGCCTCACAGGTAGCCTCAGCCCTGAGCTACCTGCATGGCCACTCCCTGGTCCATCGCGACGTCAAACTGGACAACGTCTTCGCCTTCGACCCCGAGTGTCACCTGGTGAAGCTTGGGGACTTTGGGCTCACCTGTGTGACAGGGTGCCAGGTGGGCCCCACCTCGGGGAGCCTCCCTTACGCCTCACCTGAGCTGTGCCACCTGCAAGGTGAGCAGAGGCTTCACCTGGAGCCCAGCGTGGACACCTGGGCCTTCGGTGTCCTCCTCTTCGCACTCCTCACCGGCACCTTCCCCTGGGGGGAGGCAGCACCTGGGGACCCTCTGTTCGAGGAGTTCCAGGTGTGGCACACCTGGTGGGCACAGCACACCTGGGGGAAGGGAGAGGAGGATGCACCTGAGGTGCCAAACACCTGGAGAGGGGTAGGGGAGGCAGCGAGGGAGATGCTGAGGGGGTTGATGCACCTGGAGGCAGGGAGGAGGTGTCCACCTGGGGAGGTGGAGAGGTACCTGGAGAGAGCCTGGACAGGTGAGGAAGGTGAGGATGGGGGACGGGAACCTGCTGAGGGGGGTGGAAGTGGCCTCATGTCCCCATTGTCCCCTGTTAACCCACTGGGCAGGTAGGCAGGTAGGCAGGTAGATAGGTGTCTAGGTGACCAGGAGAGCAAGTAGACAGGTCTGAAGGTACCTGGGCAGGTGAGGGTTGCCAGGGGTCACCCACAGGTGAGACAGGTGAGGGTAGGAGCCAGGAACCTGCCTGGGGGGGATGACACTGCAATGTCCCCAGGTCACCTGTGTCCCTTGTTGACCCATTGGGCCAGTAGGCAGATAGCCAGGTAGGCAGGTAGATAGGTGAGCAGGTGAGAAGGTAGAGAGGTAGACAGTTACCTGGGCAGGTGAGGGGAGTCCAGAGGCCACTCACAGGTGAGACAGGTGAGGGTGGGAACAGGAACCTGCTTGAGGGGGTGGCAGTGTCCCCATATCACCTGTGTCCCCATTAACCCATTAGGCAGGTGACCAGGTGAGCAGGTAGACAGGTGTGCACATACCTGGGGAGGACCTGGACAGGTGAGACAGGTGAGGGTGGGGGACAGGAACCTGCTGGGGGGTGGCAGTGTCCCCATGTCCCCATTGTCCCCTGTTAACCCACTGGGCAGGTGAGCAGGTAAACAGATAGATAGGTGAGCAGGTAGAGAGGTAGATAGTTACCTGGGTAGGTGAGGGCAGTCCAGGGGTCACCCACAGGTGAGACAGGTGAGGGTGGGGACAGGAACCTGCTGGGGGGATGGCAGTGTCCTCATGTCCCCTGTGTCACCTATTAACTCACTGGGCAGGTGAGCAGGTGAGCAGGTAGAGGTATCCCCAGGTGAGGGGGGACAGGTGAGGGGTCCCAGGGATCACCCACAGGTGAGACAGGTGAGGATGGGGGACAGGAACCTGCTGGGGGGTGGCAGTGTCCCCATGTCCCCCGTGTCCCTGTGAGACCCCTGGGCAGGTGAGCAGGTAGACACACCTGGGAAGGGAACACCTGGAACACCTCGGGGGGAGGAGGAAATGCCCCAAAATGTTGATGTTTAATTAAATGTCTTTGATTTGCCTTTGTTTTTAGCTGCTTTGGCCTGCCCTGGGGGGGTTAATTGGGTGGGGGGTTAATTAGGAGTTATTACTCAAGGGGTTAATTGCGGGG